GTCGGGACAGGCGACGGCTGGACACGGGGGGTGCAGGGCCAGGGGTTGGACAGGATGGTCCTTGAGGGTCCCTCCCAGCCCAGCAGACTCTGTGACTCTGTGAGTGTGGTGGGTTTTCAGTGAGGAGACACCACCTGGACAGGTGGGAAACCAAAACCCCACCAGAGGGGACATTTATCCAGTTGTTCAGGATCAGAAACACACTGTCCTGACCACCACACCCATGAGGCAAAGCCATCCATGCTACAGGTGGGAGACACCACTGACTGGACAGCCAGAATTCCCGGTGGGATGTGCTGTTCCCACACTCACCCACGCACTGGGGGGGCTGGTTCCCGTTGCTCCACTGCCCCGACTGCAGGCACTCGGTGCTGGGCTCTGATCCTGGCTGCAGCTGGAAGCCCTGGTTGCAGTGGTACACGGCCTTTGTGCCCACTGTGTACTCCTTGCCAAAGACAACCCCGTTCCTCGGGGCTCTGGGAACTCCACAGGACAGAGCTGGGAAAAAAAAAACACAGCCCAGAAATCAGTCAGCTTCCCGTTTTATCCCGGATTTGTGGCGAGCCAAAAGTGCAGCTCCCAAACCCTCCTATTCACAGGATCACAGAATGTGCTGAGTTGGAAGGGACCCACAAGGATCATCGAGTCCAACCCTCAGCCCTGCACAGGACTGCCCCTAAAAGTCACACCCTGTGCCTGAGAGTATCATCCAAACACTCCCTGAACTCTCACAACAGCTCCAGAAGCTGCAGGGAATGTCCACTTCCACAGAGGATCGTATTTTCAACCCTATCAGCACGGTAACAGCAAAGCCAACACTGAATTCCAGTTTCTCCTGGAAGAGAACTCTGGCTGTACTTTCCATAATATCTGTAACACAAAATGCATCGACACAGCACTCCAAAGTTTCCACACAGAGATAACGGATTCGATAGCGAGAACGCTTTGTATTTACATCCCACAGCAGCAACAACCCCAAACCCCTCTCCAAGAGCACTTCTGGATTACATAAGGCAGCAAATTGTGTAATTATGTTGTGGCAGAAGGAAGGCTAAATTTAGAGTTACGGCTGAGGAGGTAAAGGGGGGGGTGTTCAGGGGAAAAATGGATAAACGGGCACCGAGCCAAGCGGCTGCTGGAGATGGCAGAGCTTGGGAGAGGAGGCTCTGCACCACTCCTGCTGAAACCCTGGGCTCTGCAGCCAGGGGAGCCCCAAACAGGGCAGGGAGGGGACAGGCAGGCCCCAGAGAGGGACAGAGAAGAGCCACGTTCACTTCTGCTGCAGGACACGAGCAGCCCAGTCACCCTCCTTCCCTCCCCTGGGAATGCCGGCGCTGGGAGCCCCTCACTCACAGCTGCTCTTCTCTCTCAGCATTCAAAGGAGCTGGGAAGCCAAACCCAGACCTGCCTCCAAAACCCTCCTGTGGGTCCCCATCCCTCTCCAAGCCTTGGCCCTGGGGAAGCCCATCTTGCTGGAGCTGGAGGTGACCAACTGAGCCCTGTGGACAGGATGGGATGGCCAAGGGGAAGCTCCACTGGGAGACCACCAGCCAGTGGGCTGCCAATGCCTCTGTGGGGCTCTGAGAGAAGCAGGTGCTGCCACAGAGCACAGCCCTGCAGGCCAACACCAAACCCACCCCTGTCTGCGTTTCCAAACTGCTCTGAGGGACATCCATCCCCTCCTGGAGGAGCCGGAGCTGCTCCTGCTCCTCGTGCAGGAGGTGGAGGCTGAGCCCCTGTCTCCTGACCCTTGTGCTGACACTGCAACACATTCACCTTCCTGTTATTCCCTCTGCACAACAACCAGGGCTGGAAAACCAGCAACCTTAGAGGAGTGACCCTCTGGTGACAGGGACCCCACTGAGCTGGAGAAGAGACACCAAACGAGCGTGTGCAGCAGCAGCAGCACAGCCCCAGAGCTTCCCACCACTCCCCCAAGGTCCAAGCAGCTTTCATCCCACTCCTGCTCCTCCTGGGATGCTGGAGCAGGATCCCCCAGCGCTGGCAGGGGCTGGTGTTGCTCAGAGGTGTGAGCAATTCTGCAGGATCAGGCACATCCCTGGCTGGGCTGATAATCACAGGGATGTCACTCCGGCGGGCTCAGGAGCTCTCTCCAAGGCTGGGTGTCTAGACAAGCAGCCACACTGAATACCAATTTCATTCCCAGGGAAAAGAGGGGACCTGGGAAGTCCAACCTTTTCCCTTCCACCCGGCAGTTCTGTTATTCCTTTCCATTGTATCCGGCCAGGGGGGCTGGGGGGGAAGTTGAGCCCTTCCCACGTCACCACGCCCACCAAAACCTTCCCCCTTCTCCCTTCCATTCTCTTCTGCAGCCCGAGGCTTCCCCAGAACTCATCCCCTCTATTTGCCCCCAGGAAGCTGAGGCCCAGGGAGAGAAGGGAGCCCAGGGCCAGCTGTGCTCCAGCTCAGAGAGGCTGAGCTCCCTCTTGCCTTCATTTCATACAATCCCAGGGTGGGTTGTGTTGGAAGGGACCTTAAAGCCCATCCAGTCCCACCCCTGCCCTGGGCAGGGACACCTCCCACTATCCCAGGTTGCTCCAAGCCCTGTTCAACCTGGCCTGGGACACTCCCAGGGCTGGGGCAGCCACAGCTTCTCTGGGCAACCTGTGCCAGGGCCTCCCCACCCTCCCAGGGAAGGATTTCTTCCCAATATCCAACTTAAACCTACTCTCTGTCACTCTGCAAACATTAGTAAGTTTTTATTTACAGAGCCCCACACGAAGCAGAGATGTTTGATTTTTGGGGTGGCCATAAACCTGCCCCCTGCTCCAGAGGCTCAAGCTGTGGGCAGGATCCCCCAAAACCAGGGATGGCAGAGGTTCTTCCAGGGCAAATCAAAGCAGTGTTTGGCTCAGAGTCACCCACAGAGAGCAGGATCCAGGGCAAAAGGAGAAGGGGCAGCTCTGGGGGCTCAGAGGTGCAGGAACTCTGCTGGGAGAAGGGACAGAGGCTGGGAAAGCAAGGCTGCAGCTGGGATTCCAAAAACAAAGCTGCTTAAAAATAGGCAGCAGAGACAGAGAAGGCGGTATTAGATCATGGAGTGTTCTCCCCTCTGTGCCAAGGCAGGATTGTTCCCTGCAGAATATTCTCTGCTGCCTCCAGAAATGTCAGCGAGGACGGAGCACGCAGTAAAGATTATTCAGAGGGGATGGGGAAGGGGGAGAGGATTATGAGCTGGCAGAAAGGAGCTTTGGGAAATGGCACTTGTTAACTAGACCAAGTGTTTATGGGCACCCCAGTTCCCCTCCTCCTGCCACGGCTGACTGGGGGGCAATTTTATGCCGTTCCCAAACCTCCGCCGGGAGGTCCCGGCCACCTGAAAGGATGAGAATTTGAGCACAGCCCAAAACAAGAGACTGCCAGTTGGCTTTGAGAGAGCAATCTGGGGGGAAAAAAAAAAAGGATGTTGGATTTTATGTAGCTGGAGGAAAAGTGGAGCCAGCCCTGGCCACTGCTCCAGGCCTTGGGGGGGAGCTGCTCCTCCACCAGTTCTCTTCCAGCTCTGGCTCACTGCTGCTCACTCCCCTCCTGCAGCCTGCACTCATCCCAAGGCACTGGCCAGGGTTAAGATTCCTGATAGAAATCCAAGGAAACACAAAGGGTGACTTACCCCAAGGGCTTCTTTCAGCCTCAGGATCTAACATGCCCAGCAAGTTCTCCTTGCTGGAGGAAGACAGGCTCTTCCAGAGGGACATCCAGCACCAAGATCCTGACCAAGCTGCTCTTTGTTTGGTCAGTGGGGACACACACCCCTCCCAAGGGGAAACTGAATCAGGAGCCCACCTGAAATGCTGGGAATCAGCCCCCAAATTCTTTCTCTGCCGTGGAATGGCACCATGGATTGTGCCCATCAGGCTCCTGACACGTCAGACCTTCAGCTGAAGGTGCAGGATGGGTTTGGTGCTCCCAGTGCAGCTCCCATGGGAAATCCCTGCCCACAGTGCAGATCTGGGGTGCTCAGCAACAGCACAGGAGCTTCCCAACATTTCCAGGCCTGGCAGGGACGAGCCATGGATGGTCTGGCTCCGAGTCCCTCCCTGCTGACCAGGGAACTGCTGCTCAGGGACTTGTTTCTGCTTTGAACCCTGGCTGTCAGGGTCACCCCATCCTGGCACAGCCTCTCCCAGCCTCCCCACACATCCCCCCTGGATCTCTTCCACATTTAAAACTCAGTCCCCACCCACCACTACCCCTCTGGAAGTAAATCCAGCTTTTGGAGCTGCACACGAGGCTCAGGTGACATTCCAGCAGCACTGCAGGGCAGTGAAGCTGAGCAGCACTTGTACCTGTTCTGGATTACATGATTCTCCTTCAAAAAAAAGATGCAGTAAATCAGAGGGATCCCTTGCCCTGGGCTAAGGGAGGCACAGTTGCCATGACAGCCCTCGCTGTGCTGTTCAGCTGCTCCTTCCAGCACTTGGCTTTGCCCCATCCTGTTTTCAGGGAGGCTAAATCCCTACCTGAGCCTGTGCCCAGCTTCCCAGCTCCCCCTTGCCAGCGGGATGGGGCGGCAGGATCTTGATTTACTGCTTTCCACTCACATCTAAATCAACTGCAAAGGGAAATGAGCAGCCACGGCACAAAGCCACCCTTCCGAGGTGCAACTCCCGAAGGGCCCGAGCGATTCAGGAGCACAGAAAGGATTTTTTTCAGGGCTTCTTGGTACCTCCCACACTAAACAATCCCACTTTTCCCTCCAGCCTGGCCTGGCCAGCAGTGCAGACACTGCAGTGAGCTGGTGGTGCCTGTGCTGTCTCTGTTCCCTGGCTGGTTTCCAGGGAAGTCGATGCAATATTAATCCCCAGCGCTCGGTCCCCTTGGAACATGGATGAATGTTCAAAGACACTGAAAGGCTTCATCAGAATAAAGATGGGCATTTTAGCAGCACAAAGGAACTGGGATGATTGGCGGGTGCAGAAAAAGGTGCAATCAGAAAATGAACAGAGAGAGAACGGGACGGAACAGAAGCAAAACCCCTCTGGGGCACAGTGCCCTGTCCCCCCTCCCTCCCCTGCCTGGAATTTGCTCCATGCTGGGTATGACATGTCACAGAGATTATGGTTAATTAGGAGGAAATGTGGAAAGAACAACCACATGCCTAAATCTCAGATGAAGCCAACAGGAACCACGTGAACCCTCAGAAATTTCTCGCCCCCCGTTGACACAAACAGACCTAAGAGGGCACTTCCAGAATTACTGAAGGAAATTCCAGCCACTGAAACAGAGCAGGACCCCTACTCCTGGCAGCCTTTCCAGATTCTTCCAAGCCTTTTCAGATCCTCACAAGCCTTTTCAGATCCTCCCAAGCCTTTCCAGACCCTCCCAAGCAATAGCTTCTCCCACTCTCAACCAAGGCCTGGCTGTGTGGTCGCCGAGGGTTCAAACACTTCTACCCTGGGAGCCTTCACACAGATGATTTTTTAATCACCCATTCTCAATGCCCCCAAACACTTACTCCCTTCCCTCTTTGCCCATCTACTCCCAAGGACCTGCACACGAGGATCACCCCTCCGTGCCCACCTGCATGCCCGACTCAACGGGGAATTAGAGGAATTCCGATATTTTTGTAATTTGACCGCCTTCTCCTCCATCCTCCCCGTAGCTGCTGGATCTTTATAACAGCTCAGTGCTCTCACCTTGGCACAGAGGGATGGCCTCCCTCCAGTGGAAGTAGCCCTGGGGGTGCTGGGTGCAGGTGCTGGTGCTGTGCCCGGCCAGGCGGTACCCGGAGTCGCAGCCGAAGCGGACGGAGCTGCCGGGGCTCAGCCCGGTGTGGCTCAGGATCATCCCGTGGGCTGGGGGCTGGGGGAGGCTGCAGTAAGGAGCTGGAGAGGGGCAGGAGAAAAAGAAATCAACCCCTGGATGGGCAGCAGCAAGAGAATTCCCTTCCCGTTTTCGGGACTTACACCCCGACCTGAGGCCGCGCCAGATCTGTGATGGATAAACACAAAGTCCAAGGGGGAAGGGCAAAGGGGCTCCAGTCCAAGTTTCACTCAGCTCTGGAAATAAAGACTAATTTCTGATAATTAAATATTACTTAATTCATTTACTAAGTAAAGTCATTATTTATTTAGGACATACTGGCAAGTTCTCAACCCGGCTCTATAACTTCCATTAATTAAGATTTGCCAAGTTCTGAAACACAATAACTCATTTGAAGGAGTTCCCAGCAAATATTCGCTCTTCAGCAGTGGGTTTGTGCTGAGTGAGCAACCAAGAGCCCCTGGTCCTGCTCCCAGGAGCTGGAGGAGAACACCTGAGCAGGAGCACAGCGTGTTTAACCACGTGTGACACCATCAGCCACAGGGAAGTTGTGCCTCGTGCAGCTCCTCACACAATGCTGATGTTTTGGGATGTTCATCTTCCAACATGTCACAATGAGAGCACACAATAATTCAGGAACACAGCAATCATTGGGATGGGTTTCCTTCATCCAGATCCAGAGCCACCTCATCTATACAATCATGGAATCATTAAGGTTGGAGAACACCTCAAAGGGCTTTGGGTCCAACCATTAAGCCACCACCACACCATGTCCCCAAGCACCACATCTACACATTTTTTGAACACTTCCAAGGGCTGTGATTCCACCACTTCCCTGGGCAGCTTGTTCCAGTGCCTGACCACTCCCTCATCAAGAAGCCTTTCCTAGTATCCAATCCAACTCCTCCTGGAATCAATGACTCTCTGCATCCTTATTCTGACTCTGAGGAGTGGTTGAGAAGCCATTCAAAGCTTCAAGGTCTCTTTCTGGACTTTCTCCTGGTCATGACTCTGTAACCCTGGTTCTGATTCTTCAGAGTGGTGGAGAAACCAGCCAAGGCTTCGAGGTTTCTCCTGGGCACAACCTGCCTTTCCTTGGCAGCTTCTGCCCTCACAGATGGTCTGTGTCCCTCTGCAGGAACTTTGTGGGGACCCCTGGCTGAGGAGGAGCCCCCTCAGCCCTGCTGGGAGCTCACCAGAGTAGCGGATTTTGAAGCCTTTCCTGTTGTAGGCGTGATCCGAGGACCAGCGGAGGAAGACGTTGTTCCCACTGCTGGTCACGGTCAGAGGGGCTGAGTAGTTCCCACTCAGAGACAGGAGCAGGGGACTCTGGCCAGAGGGACCTGGGGGGAAGGAGAGAACAGGGAAAAGTCAGGGCTGACACAGAGTCACTCGTGGTCCTTTGGAACGGGAGCGTTGAGGAGTCGCCGCCCGGAGCCGTGGCTGTGATCCCGGGAACACGAGTCTGGCAGGGCTGGCACTGGCTCCTGGGAACCCCACGGCAAATGAAGCCCAGCTGATCACAGGAAGACCAGGATTTGCTCCAGGCAAGATGCCTCGGGCTCAGGTCCCAGCGGGCAGCTCCAGGAGCACCAGCACGGCACTCGTGTTCTGCACTGGTCACGGAGCTGCTTCCCTGGGAATGCTGACAGATCCCCCCTCTCCGGGCCTGAGATCCCTCTCCAATCCTGGCAACTCGTGGGCCTAGAGAATCTGGGCTGCCTGGTCTTCAGGGATGAGAATTCCCACCTTCCCAGCTCATCCCTGGCAGCAATCTCTGCTCCCATTTCTCCCGGGAGCTCGCTAACTCCTGCCCCTTCGAAAAACACTTTAGATCCATCCAAAAATCAAATCACTGATGTTTTCTTATGCAGAGAATCGATGAGGCTTAGGAGGAGCTCCAAATTCAGCAGAAGGTTACAGGCAGTGCAGTGGGAAGCTGACTTTGGAGCGCTCTGGGAACAGGGATAACCACTAACAAACCTCTGCCATTCCTTTCCTTCCCCCTTGAGTGCCACAAAGTCACAGAATTACAGAATCACAGGGTGGTTTGGGCTGGGAGGGACCTTAAAGATCACCCAGTTCCAACCCCCCCAGGGCCAGGGGGTGGATCTCTTACCATCAAAGATCTCAAACTCGTCGTACTGCTTCTCACTGAGGAAGTACTCGATGGTGAGGGAGATGTTGTACCCAGGCTCGACCTTCACCACCCAGGAACAGGTCTGGAAGTGGGGGTAACTCCCCAGGAAGCTCTGGCTGAGGATCACACCAGTGGAGTCTGTCATCACCTGGTTCATGGGGCAGTGAACTGCAGGAAACGTGGAGGAGAGACAACACAAAGGGAATTTCCCTGTTTGTCAGAGGGAGGATGAAAACACAAGAAAATGTGGCCAAGAAGGTCTGTCTTGATGAGCCAGGCTGAGGCAGAGCACAACTCTGCACACCTTGGCCCCTGGGGCTCATGGAGAACCCCAGAGCCTGATCTGGGCTGTGGTCCCACAAATCCCAACAACTGTCCCATTCAAAGAAAGGGGCAAAAAGCAACAGTGCAAACAAAGCTTTTCAACAGCCTCGGGGTGATTTCACATCCCTTTCAAAATGAGCAGCCCCACAACCAAACAACTGTCCCTGAGGGACAAAAGGCTCCCCAGGAATCCCTGGAAACTCTCTCTCCTGGGTTAGAGCAAAGTGTGGAACTACAGGTTTATCTCAGGTCACCCACAGAGTTGTTATCTGGGACATAAGAACTCCAACTCCTTCCTCTAATCACTACACCCCATTCAGCTCCTGGAAATACAAAACCCAGCTGAAAGCACTACAGAAAAAAAGGCCAACGAAAATACCCCAAAAGAGGGGGCAAACACACACAGAGGGAGCAGAAAGCATAAAGAAAGGGATCTTTATTTATCCATAATTGCCACTAAACCCCAGTGCAAACGCTGGGCTTGTATGAATAGAAAATAGCCAGAAGTACCCAGAAAGAACAGTGTATTCTTTCCAAATCCTTAATCCCATCAGTGATTTTTTGACCTCTAGAAATTGGTGGCCAGATGTAATTTAAGCAGTCCCTTCACCCCCAGGCTAACAACCACCAGTAAATAATTGAATGACCTCCCTTTCTCTCCTTCAGCTCGTGCTTTTTCAGAGAGAATAAAGCCATAGAAAAATATCCCATTATATGGTAAAAATGTCCAGATAGGAGGGAATGAAGGAGATGAAATAATCACTGCTGGAGTGAACAAAAGCCCCAGCAGGAAGGCAGAGGATAAAAAAAGGAACATGGGAGCAGGGAAGCATCTCTGGGATCCCTCCTGAGCAGCAGCAAGGTGTACAACCAGCGTGCCGGGCCTTTCATTCCTCTCCTGTGTCAGACATTCCGTGGCACTAACAGAGGAGCTGTTCCTGCAGATTGTCTGCCTGCTCCTCCTCTGGCTGTCCCTGTGGCTCTGGCAGCCCAGCACTCCTCCCTTTCCCAAGGGAAGGACATCTCCAGTGGCCTGGAGAGTGCAGCAGTGTCCCAGCACTGCTCGGGGAAGGACAAGCTCCAAGGGCCTCTCTGAACACTTGGGGTACAGTCCTGGGGTACCCAACATGAGGCAACCCCCCCCAGACCATGTGGAGCTCCCAGAGAATCCCTGGAGCCAGCAAGGGGTGGAGGAACAGGAACTGGAGCTGTTTGGGCACTGAACAGGCTCCCCGGGGTTTGGTCACAGCCCCGAGGCTGCCAAAGCTCCAGGAGGGTTTGGACAATGCTCTCAGGGACAGGGGGGGATTTTCGGGGTGTCTGGGCAGGGCCAGGGCTTGGACTGGATGGTCCTTGGGGGTCCTTCCAGCTCAGGATGTTCTGTGACTCTCTGAACCTTCCCTCCTGGTTTATCAGAGCTGCTGCACCAACCCCCCCAGTCCCCCTCTCCCTGCTGCTCACTGGGTGCTGTGGGAGCCCAGCCAAGGAGCTCAGCCCTGGCACTGCCCTGCCCTGCACAGGGAGGGTCTCACCTCCCTCCTCACAAGGTCCTGATGGGAGGTTTGGCACTCCCGGGACCCTGGAGATGGGGAGAATTCACCCCAAAGGTGCAGAATGCGCAAGAAAACCTCCCCCAGCTCCCTCCCTCAGCCATCCCCCACTTGGGAACAATCCCTGGGCAGGGAAGTGCAGGGACTGTGGGACCACCACCCTGGGCACCCCCAGCTTTACCTTCACACGTGGGGGGAGGCCCCTCAAACTGGAGGTGAGTGCCGAGTTTGCAGGTCAGGATTTCGTTTCCGATCAAGGTGAAGCCGGGCAGGCACCTGTACCTCACTATGTCACCTGCAGACAGGGGCAAAAACCACTTCAACCCAAGGGAAAGGTCACGGAATTCATCCAACCGTGCCCTGGGATGGGGGAACCTCTTGGCTGTGCCTCTGCCACTGAGAACAGGCAGAAACAGAGGGTGCAAACACAGAAATAAAGGGTGTAAACACAGAAATAAAGGGTGTAAACACAGAAATAAAGGGTGTAAATACAGAAATAAAGGGTGTAAATACAGAAATAAAGGGTGTAAATACAGAAATAAAAGGTGTAAACAAAGAAATAAAAGGTATAATTACAGAAATAAAGGGTGTAAATACAGAAATATAAGGTGTAAACACAGAAATAAAAGGTGTAAATACAGAAATAAAGGGTGTAAATACAGAAATAAAAGGTGTAAATACAGAAATAAAGGGTGTAAACAAAGAAATAAAAGGTATAATTACAGAAATAAAGGGTGTAAATACAGAAATAAAAGGTGTAAACATAGAAATAAAAGATGTAAATACAGAAATAAAGGGTGTAAACACAGAAATAAAGGGTGTAAACACAGAAATAAGAGGCATGGAAAGGCATGCTGGAATCCCACTGGGATGAGCTGCTGTCGTGACACTGTCACGATTTTGTGAAGTTATTTCAGGTGGAGACTTTCCTCCAAGAAAAATCCCTTCCCTTTAAGAAAAATCTTGGCTACTCCAGTGGCTGCAGACACTTCAAACGTGGCTGGAACCGTGAGCAACAGCTAAAAAAACCCACAGAGAGCACCATGGATGTGGCTAAAGGGTTCTTGGTAAAAAAAGGAATAAAGGCCTGTGAGCCTCCACACCAGGCTCCGTGGGAAACACCCAAAGATTCCTGAGTGTTCCCAAACACCCTCCCAAAAGCCAAAGCACTTCTGTGCTGAGAGGGACAGGAAAAGTCCCCAAAGCCTTGGGACAACGGGAGCAGTTTGACTCCAGTTGGTGCAGTTTGACTCCAGTTTGGTGCTGGTGTTGGGCAGGGTCGGGCACAGCTCCTGATGTGAGGGGAAAAGGGGGTTCCCAAGGGCATTCCCAGCAGCTGGAGAGGGGGGAAGGAGGGGTGAGAGGGGGAGGAGAGGTTACCTATGTTGAACTCCTCGTTCTCAGTGATGATCTCGGCGTTGGGGACCATGGTGGGGGGCTGGCACCGGAACAGCTGGTAGGCTGGGAGGGCAAAAAAAAAGAGCAGCAGATGTTCAGCTGGGGGTGAAAAGCCACAGGATGGACTCAGGGAAAACCCTCCCCCCTCTCCACCAGGAGGAGGAATTGGCAAAATGCAGCCAAGCCCTCCAAACCCCTTGGAGATGGATCTGGGAATTTGTGTCCCCCAAAGCTTCTCACTCCCGGTGGGAAACAGGTTTGGGTCAGTCCAGGGGAGGTTCTGGTGCAGGTCAGGGGAGATGGAGGTGCCTGCACAGTGTCAGTCCTCTGGAGGACACTGAATGGTGACCAAGGGTGAGGCAACGTCCACCAGCACCTTTTTGGGATACTGAGGGAAGATCTTGGGGACCTCAGTGGGATCTGGGCAGTCACAGAGGAGGGAGAACCACCCCCACAGCTCCAGCTCCAATAATTACTCAGGGAATTCCATCCTTAATGCCTGTCCTTCAACAGGGATCTCAGAATTCACCGATTTCTTTTTAACCCGGAATTATTAATTTCTTCCAGAAAGAATTCCAGGAGTGCTGGTGCTTCCAGCTGCACTTCCAACTGCAGATCCTCCTTGGAGTTCACAGAGTGACCTGTGCAAGGTCAGTGTCAGTGCTCACAGAAGGCAAAGCAGGGCAAAATTTGTACTCTTTGCCTCATTAGGTGTTTTTTTGGAGGTACCATGTGGCTCAACGGGAAGAAATCCAGTTGAGGAGCAGAAATTAATTTTTTTTTTAGGGCGAATTCTCCACCAAAAAATTAAATCCCAGCTCACAGCGAGCAAAAGGAAAGCAGGTGCTCAGGAGAAGGGGGGTGCTCACAAAAACAAACACCCCAGAGCTCTGAGCGGGGGTAAATTGGATATATTGGTCCCAGCAACCAAATGAATATTAATGCCAGACATTTTCTGCTATTTGCTCAGCACTTCCCTGCATTCTCTGCTCCCCCTGCACCTGACCCCAGACAGGCAGAACTTCCCCCTGAAATTCAGATCAGCCTTTTCATTTAGGAGAGGCTGGAGCTGGGCTGCCCCTGAATATCAATTCCTGCCAACCCCAGGATGGATGTTGAACTCTGCACACCCACAGGAGGGCTGGCAGGCCTGGCAGCACCTTAATGAGGTGATGATGGTGGTAAAATGCCCTGTTGGTTTGCCCTGATCTCCTTACTCCATAAGGTGGGGCAGGATAATACTTTGCCAGAGGTATGTGGGAGAGCAGGGTGTTTGCAGGGAACACAAGGGCTTCTCTTCAATGTGAGGGATGGGCTCACCTGTCCTGGGTGTGCAAGGGGAGGAAAACACAAGCACATGACACTGGAGGGATCCTGAGCCCCCAGGGGCTAGTGGGAGGTGTCCCTGCCCATGGCAGGAACTGGGTGATCTTCAGGGTCCCTCCCAACCCAAAGCATCCCATGGTTCTATAAATGAGACTTTCATAACAGGCCAAGCAGTTGCAAGAGTGGCTACAGGTTATAAATGACTGTCAAACCACCCCTGATCCCTTCCAGCCCCAATCCCAGACTTTACACCTCCATATAAAACCCCCTCAGGATTAGGGAATGGCCCTGTGGGCTCTGCCCACAGCAGTGAGGGGGTCCCATTCCCACAGCAAAGGGTGGGAATGCAGCACTGGCCACCCTCTGCCTCCTTCCTGAGCCAAACTGCCCAAACCATCCTTTCCTGCAGAGCTCTTCCATTGTTTGGGAATGTTAATCTTAGAGCAGCAGGAAGTCAGCTCCTTCTGGAGGCCAGCAATCCCTTAAATTCAGCCTGTCCCTGGAACACCCACCCCTCAGAGCTGAGCTCCAGCCCTTCTGCAGGGGCTCAGCATGGGATTCATGGAATTCACATTCCTGCAGCAAGAGCAGGTTCTCCATTTGCACTTTCCCAAATCCCAGCACTTGCTGCAGGAACTTGTCAGCTAATCCGATTTGGAGTCAGGCTCTTGTTTAGTGCCACCAAGCAAATGCTCTCATTTAATGTAATACCCAAGATTTTGCTGCCCTCACACCAAAGAATCCCGGAGTAATCCAGGGATTTACAGGAATCCTTCTCCTCCCCAGAGGAATGGAGTTGTGTCTCCGCTGGATCATTGAAAACAGGCCACCAGGATGATCCAGTTGGTTTAGCAGAGCACTGGAAAAGGGAATCCTGCATCCACAAACTGCAGGGAAGGGGAGTTTTAGGCAAACCAAGCAGGGCTGTCCACGAGGGATATGCCATGGAGAGGATGGGATTGACAGGCAGCATAAGAGACCTGTAAAACTGCCCCTTTGGGGAAGAATCCAGGTTAACAAGAGTATTTGTTCCCATCTTTCCCAGCACTGTTCCTGCCTCCCAGCTGCTCCATGTCCCCCCCACACCCAGGACAGAGCCATACAGACCATAGAAATAAATGGCAAAAATGCCCCCGTTGGCTGCGTCGCTGTGGAACTTCAGCAGGACCTGGTTGGAGGAGCTCTGGGCTGATTTCTTGGCAGAGTTGCCAGTGAACACACCCAGCTGGGGGGCTGTTTGCTGGGCTCCATCCCTGTATGGCAGAAACACGGGAGAAGAGCATCAGTGCATGTTTTTAACCTCAGAAAACAACCCTCCTCCTCCTCCCTGCTCTTCCTTCCTCGCCCTCCCTTTCCCAAATCTGTTTTTCATTTCCCAGCAGCTCCCTGGGCAGTGACTTGGACCCCCCAGTCCCTCTCCCTGCTTCCAGGAGAACCAGAATCATCTCTTCTGGCTCACAGTGCTCACCCAGTGGACAACTACAACCATGAACTTCACTTTTAACCTCAGAACCTGAAGAGCTAGGACTGGTTTTCCAAAGGAATGTCGCTCCCTGTTTGCAGAGCAGGCACTGGGATATTCTGAAGACCATTTATTGAGTGCTACAAGCCCAAGAATTCGGCCCCAAGCTCTTTAAGCAGAGCAGCTACATGTGCTCCCTTGGCTGCCTGAAGCTGATAATGTGCAGCACTGTGCATAAATAATATTTCCATCTATTTCTATTAAAAGAAATAATGCAAAAATAATGATTTCTCTTCCCTCCTACAAGTAGAAAAGGAAGCTCCCAGCCTGGAAAGCCCCTGGGGTGAAGAAAGCAGTGTCACTGCATCAGAGCTGAGCCCATCTCCAGCAGAGATCCCAGTTCCCATGGAAAAGCCAAGGGCACCTTTCCCAGATGGAGCCCCCCAGAGCTGGGCTGTACCCACCACACAGTGATGAAGTCGTTGTAGGGCTCTGTCTGCAGCAGGGTGAAGTTGAGGTGGATCCCATATCCCACGGGCACCGTGAGGAGCCAAGTGCAGTCCTGGGAATTGGGGTACTGGTTGGGGAAGCCAGGGGAGTAAACTGTCCCATTCTGGGTGGTGACATTCCCCCCACAAGGCACTGCAGGGAATCAGAGAGAAACACAGACCTGATGAAGAAATACCCCCCCAAACATAACTCTTAAAAATCCCCTATTTCCCATTTTTCTTTCATTTTTTACCATAACAAGATGTCAGTTCTGGATGCAGGAGGACCCAGATCTTGGCCTGACTCGCCTCAAACAATCTCCACCTGCCACGAGCACGTCAAACCTTTTTAACTTCATCCCATTACAGTGAATTTATGAAGTGCTCCAGAGCTGAGAGGAGCCTGCCAGGGCGTTTTGTCCAGATGTGACAGCCAGGTGTGCAAACAAATTGTCTCTCATGCCCTGCTAAGAGTCCCTGGGCTCCACCAGCTGTCTGCTCAGAAAACAGAGCTCCTGCTGGGATCACACCAGTGGGCAAATCCATGCCCTTGTTCCTGCAGCAGGGGCTGGGCCAGCAGGGGGGAAATGAGGATTTGTGTGGCAGCAGCGTCCAAGCCATTAATCACCAGGACAGTTCCACTGCACCAGGAGCCCTCCAGCTCCAAAGGGACTCACAAACTAAAGAGAGGCAACTGGAGACGGCCTGGGCAGGGCCCTGGGGGGACAGGAGGGTGACCTCCAGCTGCAGGGACACAGCTCTGGGTGGCTCAGGTACAAGCAGCAGCCTCTGCACTGCCCTGGCATGGAAATGGGAATGCTGACAGCACCTGCAGGTGCTCCTGGCCTCCTGCAGGCACTGGCACAGCTCAGTGTCCCCTGCCCCAGCCAGCTCTGCCCCAAGGCCAAGGAGCTGCATTAACCCAATCCTGGCATGGGAACAGGCTGCCCAGGGCACTGCTGGAGTCACCACCCTTGGAAACGTTCAAAAATCATGGGATGTGGCTCTTGAGGACCTGGTTTAGTGGTGAACGTGGGGCTGGGATGGTTGGACTTTAGTGACCTTCAAAGTTCTTCTCCACCCTCAACGATTCCACACAACTCATGGATCCAGGCTCAGGGTCTCACACACAGCAACACCCTCTGCTTTCCATGCAGGAGCAGCCCCCCAGACCTCCCTGAGCCAGCTGAGAGCCAAACTCCACGTGTTCCCTGCCTGGCCCTGCTCTGGGAAGAGCACGTGTATTTACACAACTCCCCACGCTCATTTTCTCAAACACACACCCAGGAAGCCTTAGGGGCCAAGTTCCCTCCTGCCCTGCAGAGCAGCAGGAAGGCTGCTGATCCCTGCAAAACCTCCCTGGAGCGGTGCTGGAAAAACCTCTGTGCCTTTTATTTCGGATTTAACAGCTTCTCTTTTAATTAAAAGACCTTTCAGCACTGACCTGCCAGGGAAAAAGGTGAGGTGCTTTGCCTAAGGCAGCACGTCCTCCCTGCCTGCTGCTATGCAGAAATGGACCATTTAAGGGAAAGAGCAAGAAAAGGCAAGTTCTGTATTGCTTTACCAGCAGGAAGAGCCCAGCAGATGTGCACAGAGAGCAGCAGCAAATGGGCCAAAACGTCCCTCACCCTCACCTCTCTGCTCTCAAAGTGCTGCAGAGCCAGCAAACTACTTAAAAACACAATAACAGGGAGGGCTGCAGCTGGCAGAGCTGATGCCCGAGGTAGGTGAGGGCACAATCCTGCTCCCAGCACCCCCTGGGCACAGGACGGGCTCCCACTGACACGGTGCTGGACTCGGAAAGAGCAGCTGAGGATTTGGTTCTTTGTGCTCTGTGTTCTCTGGGGTTCAAGGACTTAAAAGAGGGAAAATATCACCTCTCTCTCTACCTCCCTGCAGTTCCTGCAGACCAAGGGCTGTAAGAGGCTGGGAGAAAGGTCAGTGCTCCTGGGAAAGGTGGGGGGAAATCTTCAATAAGCAGAGCTGAACTTCTCAAAGGTTCACCTGCAAAGCTTCTGAAGTCAATCACACAGAACTCAGGCCACTGGCCCTGTGGATGACAGGCTGAAACAGCCACGCTGTGGGGGGGAAAGAGAATTTGGACACTGGAGTTTTGATGCCTGGAATACAGATCTCCACTCCCTCAGCCTGCAGGGGCCTCCTGGCACACTGGTCTGCAGAAAGGAGAGCATGGAAAGTTCCTGGGTCATTTTGGAGATGCCACACTAAGGAGAGCAGGGCAGGGACACCACCTTCCCAACTGAGAGTCCCAGAGCTGCAAGGATCTCTGCCCAGGGACTAAGTGGATTTCCCAGTGCTAAATCAAGAGAAGCTCAACGCTGTTGAAGAAATAAAGCAAAATGTAATTATTCCTACAAGGCCCCTGGACTGTGTCTCTTTGAAATGCAGCTCCCAGTGGCCCCAGCAGTGAGGGGAGAGCTGGAGACTTTCCTCACCCACACCATGAGACTCAACCCCTGCCCAAAAGTTGCTCCCTGGTTCTGAACCGCCCAAAATATTCGCTTTGTGCCGGACCAGGCTGACCACCAGCTCAGGGAGAACACACTCCAGCACCTCAGGGGGTGAGGTTTGACCCCAAGAGCACAAGAAGGCCAATGGATCCTGGCCTGGCTCAGGAACAGGGTGGCCAACAGGGCCAGGGAAGTGATTCTGCCCCT